CAAAAAAACAAACAAATTAAAAATCACCTTTTGTTTTCCACAGAAGAAAGCAAGTCATACTGGTTTGGAATGATGTGAGGCTGGTTCCTAAAAGGAAATCAGAAAAAATAAATAAATAATAATAATCCCATTTAGGCTTGTATATCAGTTAACTCTCAGCTTGGTACTTCCGGACCATGGGGCATAGTGAGAGTGAGTGGATGAGGAGAGGGAAAAGGAGATCCATATCTACTCCAGGAATCTGGTGTAGTACCACCACTTCACTCTAAGTGGACAACCACTTAAACACTCTCCAGACAGGTTGTTATCAGGCAGCAGAAGCTAAATGTTTGAGAGACATACACCTGCACACCATGTGTTTTACGTTGATTTACTGGTTGGCTCAGACTATCCGATTTAGACAGTCGTTGGGCATTTTCTCCTCTTTCTGAAGTATCATTGGTCTAAACTGACAAAGATGTATATAAATTCACAAGCTCAGACATTTACTCACCCTTACGTAAATCCAAACCTGTATGACCTTCTTTGTTCCGTGGAGCAAAAAAAAAAAAAAAGATATATATTTTGAAGAATCTTCATGCAGTTCTTTTCCATGCAATGACAATAAAGTATTTGTCATTATTGACTTATACTACTTAAGCTCACTCGACAACATTTGTATGAAGTTGATTACCCCCTAAAAAATAATCAAGGTATGGTGAGGCACTTGCGATGGAGGTGAATGGGGCCAATTTTTGAAGGATTTAAATCATACATTTATCATTTATAATTGAAATTGTACAATTGAGGCTTATAATTTTATAAAAAAAAAATACTTTTGTTGATATTTGTGTATTATTTGAGCCGTAAAGTGGTCATTTTAGGGTTTAAGGCATTGCATTATCATGCCGCTATAAAAGGGTTAAGCATTTTTGTCACATTATAATCATGTTAGCATGCATAGATTATATGTTGTGCTTATACTACTATAACAGTACTTTAATGTTTACACATTGGCCCCATTCATTTCCAATATACTGTAAGTGCTTCACAGTCTTTAAAAAAAAATAAGTGGCATAGGTGGCACATTTTTGTGGTATTCAATTATCCGCCAAGAAAAAAAAATGCTTTTGATTAAACTTGATTTTTACTGAACACGATCAATGATCCATGAGTAATGGCCCCTAAATAAATTATCACAACGGCTCAAATATATATTGCAGAAGAAACCTCAGCATTTAGTTACTTTAAGACTCTACTCTTGAACTGATAATTAAGAGCTCCCATTTAAAGTCATCCAGTTCTACAAAAAAAGATATATTATTTTGAAAATGAACTTCGTCACATTTGAGGCTATGAAGCTGTTTCATTTAGTAAGGATTAGTCAGCTGAGCTGTTTATTGAGTCTTTAAGGCTGCGCATTTGTCACGAGTAACAAAGTGTGGCTACTTTCTTCATAATGAGAACTACTCCAAAGGATAAGACATAAACTTGGCTTTGATGAAGAGAAAGTGACAAGTGACAAGAGACAGACATGCAGGGAGTGGCTGTCTCTGTGTCCAGTTCCAGCCTTGGGACTGGAACTTTACTTCACTGCTCTTAGCTTAGGCTTAAAAGAAATAAAGTTTAAGTGTAATGCTCTGTGCTGCATTACTCATAAAAGATATGAGCCAATTTACTCATTTAATGTGCAAAACATTTGACAGAGTATCACTTCTGCAGTGCTGGCCTGGTGGGGAAAATATTGAGTAAACAGCATTGGGATTTAAAAAAAAAAAAACCCAAAAACTTTAATGTAACTACCCATGGTGGGAATTTAAGAAAATGTACTTGAAAGAAGTTTTTGACACAAAGGCAATACAATCAGTTCACATGCTTTAAGAAGTGTGGAGAGACGCTGAGCCATATGTTAGAGAGAGACCTCCCAAGAGGAAGGGAATGTGACAGACATTATTGGCAAAGGCACGTGTTTCATTTTTCATGTTCTGATGAAAAAAAGAAAGCACATGTTGTAGAAATATATTTGAAGAAAAAACTTTGATTGGCAAAATATCAGTTTTTATTGTTACACTGTTGCCCAAAAATTGTATTTGGACATTTTAAATATGTACATTTAAAAATGTATATAAATGGTGGCATTATAGGCTATAACAAAGTGCCATTTACTATAAAGAAATATAGCAGAGGCCTTTCAAACAAAATAGTTCACAAAAACAAGTTTGTTGGCCCTCGCTTGATAAAAAGTAAATATTGTGTCCAAAATCAAGAAGTTTTGCGATACCTATTTGAACTTTATGGAAATCTTTTGGATTACTATTTTGGATATGAAGTCTTATTGTGTAATGGCGTAATGTGTGTGAAAACGAGTAAACAGGATATATACAGTTTGCTACTCCTGCCTTGTGCGATTCTTTGCTTAATAACCCCTGACAAACACCATAAATTGGCAACGAGGATTAAGCTTTTTTTGTGTTATCATTGGTCATCAAGATGGCTGCTAACATGCCTTTCCCTGTCTTTCCCTAGTTTGGCTGCTATTGCGTTCAGCAATCTTTAAACAGCACTCACTTTTTGAGTTATTGATGGGCTGGTGGTGGCGCAGTGGATAAGACACATGCCTTTGGTGTGAGAGACCCGGGTTCGAATCCACTGTGAGACCCTGAGCAAGACACTTAACCCCTAGTTGCTCCAGAGGCATGCGACCTCTGACATATATAGCAATTGTAAGTCACTCAGCTAAGTGAATGAATAAATGAATAAAAAATGATGCTACAGGTGACGAAAGTCAGAGAGCTGTCCTGCTTTACTACCTCGATATACAGGGACAAAGGATTTCCTACTCATTGCCAAACACGTATAAGGATGCAGAGGATGCATTGAAAGCCTACTTCATGCCAAAATCGAACTTAGTATCTGAACGACGTGTCTTCGACGCATCACAAGCTTGCTGTTTCATGTGTGTTTGTTGCCAGAACTGATGAAATGATTCGCGATCACATAGTAGAGAATTGGCTCAGCCCACGAATACGTGAAAGACTTTTACTAGATACTGATCTTACACTCGACAGAGCTGTTATGACAGCAAGCCAGATTGAATCTGCTGCCGATCAGGCTAAATCCATTTCAAATTTCCACCAAGTTACAGCAGCAAGCAGTAAAACGCAGAACAATGGTAAACCTTCACAAATCAAATACGTGTGAGGTCCGTAAAATTGAATCGCAAGAAATTACTGTACTGTACACGGAATATTCAGCTCGTACTCCCAGCATTACAAACACAATGTCTATCTACTTTGGACTTACAGACTTATATGGTGGATTTGGTGGTTGACACCTGGTCTTGCCGTACAGTACTTATGCATGCCATTTCAGTAATGCAGTGCTGTCGCAACCTACAACCAAATGCCCGAATTCCAAATTCCATGAAGGGAAACGTAGCAAACATTTCCCTACATGACCATTCAGTTCCTGCTAAATTCTTTATTTTAGACAAAGGGACACCACTCATGGGGAAGGACCTAATGTCTGGATTGAGGATTGAAAACAGTTCCAGTCCTGTTCCAGTCTTTCAGTGCACTATTACTGAGTCAACTGAGTTTCTAAAAACTTTATACACCACATAAAGCTGGATGAAGATTTTTGCCGTCTGCCACACTCTGTTCTCAGTGCTCTGAAAAAGGAATTAAATTGCTTGCAATCAGCTAAGGGTTTATGAACGCATCAACGCCTCTGCATGGGTGTCACCAAAGCCCCTTTCACACAGCGCGTTGATCCCGGGAAATTGTAATACCGCCATCGATGCCGGGTTGGGGACCTACTGTAGTAACATTGCTGGGATCAGTCCCGGAACGCGCGCTGTGTGAACAAAAGCCGAGACCAATGCCGTGAGGGGTGTGTCATAGTGATGACGCTCGTACCATCGCGCGACTCTGTTGCTCTTAGAAGAAAGTTTGTGTTCGTCATCAACAAAGAAACGACGAACAAATGTCTGCAAACTGGAACGAAGCAGAGACCAGGAGCTCCTCACTATCCGCGCTGATGCTGAGAGCGTTCACCAGCTTTGTGGAACAGTATGCGCGAGTACATGTTTTCTACGCGTGCGTTACACGTCTCGTCCTGGCGTCATGTGTCTTTCCGGGATATTTCCGGGTTGTGTGTGAACATGCTCACAGATCCCGGCAAATCACTGGCAGTGTGAATGAACCGAAATCAAACAATCCCGGGACAAATGCTGGGTCACATTATCCGTGTATTTTCCGGAATCTCTGTGTGAGAGGGCCAAAAACTCAGGTTAAATTAAGATGTGCATTGACCTCAGAGAGCCAAAAAAAGCAGTGATCGTGAACTCTTTTCCATCGCCATACATGAATGAACTACTCTCTGCTCTAAAAGCTTCTCTACCATCTACCTAATATTTACTACCAAGTGGCGACAGTCGTGACCTCACATTTTTTATTATTCACTACAGACTGTTTTTGTTGTGTTCATTGCGGATTGGCTTCAGTGCCTGGGGTATTTCATCCTGACTGGCTTGTCAGGGGTTAAAAATGACCAAACTATCACTATCATCCATGGACGTGATATGCCTATGTGGGACTTCAAGCTGTTATACAATGATCAAAGTGTCACTTACGACAAACCATCCTGCAGGTCATCCTGTTTCAGCGGAAGGTCTTAATGAACAGTGTACAGGCGATTCAAAATGAAACATTTTCTAGATATACTAGTACATAGATGTTATCAAGTTTAATGCATACGTTTAATGAAAAAAAAGACATTCTCAAGCCACTCCCTATGTAAAATGATTGACTATCATACCCAAGTTTTGTGTTGAATTTGTGTGTGTGTGTGCGCATGCTCTTGTCACCACAACTGCTTCACCAATCTTCACCCTTTCCCCAAACTTGGGCCCTTAAAGCTTCTTTAATTGTTTATCTGTGCTTTTTTTGTATGTATGTACTGTTGTATGTGCGTTTCCCCACACGTGTGTTCTTTTATCTCTTTTCTTCTGTTCCTCGCAGCCTGTGATTGCCATCCTGTGGGGGCCGCTGGCAAAACCTGTAACCAAACCACAGGCCAATGCCCCTGTAAAGACGGTGTGACGGGTATCACATGCAACCGTTGTGCTAAAGGCTACCAGCAGAGCCGATCACCCATTGCCCCCTGCATAAGTATGTGGATCACTCAATGTCAAGATTTCAATCCCCAATGAGCGATAATGCACAAATGTTTGTTTTTTTTTGTCCATGGAATGCATTGAAAAATTGAGTTGAAACTCTTCTAAAGGACTGTAGGATCCATTTCTTATGGTGGAACAAGAAAATCTGCAATTCACAGTGGAAAGAATTTGGAACCATGTCTTGTTAAGGTCACTCCACAGGATTAACACCTGCCGTTCTTTAACATGTTTTCTTTACTTCATGGGCCAAATCAGTGAGATTGACATTTTTTTAGAATCTTAAAATCGTTCTTTAAAGATTACAAAAGTATAATAGAGTCCTCACTGCATGGAAAGGAATAAAGAAAACATATTATCCATCACTGGTGTTTGCATTTGAAATCAAACTGTTTAATTGGTGCTTTTGTCGATAAAACAACGCTTGGGTATTAAACGAAGCAATTGGAAATAAAACGCTCAGGAGAAATAGTTGGCAGGGAGCTTAGCGGAATGAATTTTTTGGAATCATATATCTTTGATTTTCTTGGGAAAGTCACAAGCATGAATGTGTGAAAGATAGACACTCCGGTAATTGAACTGAAAATATTTCGTTTCTCTCATAATAGTGAAATAATGTTTTTATTTTAATAGCACATATAAATTTAAGCAGTTTTTCAATCCATGCCAAGCTCAGTTTAACACAAGGAAGCCTTGGCTACACATTATGTCCTTTTATTCTGAAGACCATAAATCAATATTGTTGAAATGTTTGTAACAGGCTTGTACTGTAATTTAATCTGGCATTAAGCTTGTTCCCATGTTCCCCACGACGTTTAGAGCTCATATAGGAAGACCACCACAGGAAACGTATATAGTCTTGCCAAAATGCCAACAGCAAAATATACTTTCCTTTTTACTGGTAGTTCTTTATTGAACTATGACTTTATGCCATCCTGAATAAGTAACACTACAAATCAATATTATTATCAAGCCTTGTTTACTGGCCAAAAGCACCATAATGCATACATGCAACAGAAACATACAACATTTTTTTGGACCCCAGCAAATGACGAAGATTGTTTTTCAACCAGAAGACTTGATTCTTTCTTCCTTTAAAAAAACCCTCTTTTTTGCATGGTTGCACACCAGCTCCACAGAGCACACAAGCACTCTCTTATCAACTTCTTCATATTTCTCTTAGTACGCTTGAGCTGTTCAGTCATCCTCTTGTTTTGTCCTCATGGCAGTAATTGCCTTTTCTTCTTGTATATTTATGTTCAGATAAAGCAAAGGACTGTTCTTTTTTTTTTACCACTTTTATGAATTCAATCACTGCGATGAAAAGGTCTTTTCCTCACGCATGGCTTTGCTGAGTGTAAACTTCCCTCCGTTTATGAAAGGGCAATGGAAGGAGGAATGAAAGAATCAAGTCTTGGACAAGCATCTTGCTGCTTTTCATAACAACAACAAAAAAAAAAGGGATATGGATGGAGCAGGTTGGGTTCATAATGTGAAACCTGTAACATTTTCTTACGGAGTTAACATGGTTCAAATAAGCAACACGAAACTGTCTGAACAGAAGCTAATATATATTGATCTTAAATTATAGTTATTATTTAATTTGAATGTAATTATTTCTTTATTTAAACCAATGTTTACATTGATTTTAAGGATATTTTTTATTTAATTATGTATGCATTTATTTATTATTGCTAACTGTCATCTCTTTTCGGAACAGAAATTCCCATTGCTCCACCAACCACAACTGCAAGCAGCACAGAGGAACCTTCAGGTTAGTTCTGCTAACTAATCTTAAATGAGAATTGTGGAGAATTGTTTTCACCACAGACTATATCCATCACTATTAAAAAGCTAGGCCACTTGCAAGTGTCTCGTATAAGGAACGAGGGGCTGAATCGGCGCTGTTTGGGGGCTCTTTCTTATTGAATTGCAGATATAAGGTTTTCTTCGCTTTTGAGCGTATAAAGTGGAATTTGATTTACCCAAACCCATTATGGAAGAGGAACTGCTGAAATTATTAGGAGGATCTAGTTTTACAGTTGCGTCCCTTGACACTTTCACTCTCGCCGCAGATGTTTTATAAATACGTCTAAAAGTAAGCAGAACGTCAGACTTAACTGCAGTGTCTGCCAAATGATTTCATTCAACATCAGACAGTAAAACACTGTCTGCAAATATACAAACGCTTCCCTAACATTTCGTGCAATTATAGACTAAGTGTCTCCTGATCAGATGTTTAATTTCCCAAGTTTTCTTGCCAGAGCTATCAGCTTCTCTCTCGCTTTTTTCTCTCTTTTTTAGAGAATAGTGAGTGAACATGCTTTAATTTGCCCGTATGGAAAAAGTATTTGTTGAAGAAATGTTCGTCATTCTCACGGACAGAGGAATTCTAGCGTGCAAAAAAATCTTTGCAGCTGTTGGTTGATCGTCGCAGACCTCTAATGCTTTACTGACAGATAAGATTGACAGCAGAGCTGCTGGTATTCTCTCTCTCTCTCTCATGGACCTCATTTCATTCTTCTCTGGGATATTTTCTCTGCCCCCACATTTTTCTTCTTCGGTCTTTTATTCTCTCTGCATTTCTTCCTCCTTTGTCCTAAAATACCCACTCACTCTCTTTAGCCCATCTGAAACCAATTCTCTGTTTCATGACTGGTAGTTTGGCTATTGCCAAATGTCAGAACTGCATTGTGAAAACTGTCTTTCCTTAATGGACTATCAATGATTTGAGATAGAGGGTGTTATGACCCATGCAAAATAAACAAATAGGCAAAGCGGAGGGAAAAGGTTAACCCATTCACCACAATGTGTTTCCATTTGTCATGGCCTGACCCTTAAGCATATGGCAGCACATGTGAAAAAAAAAAAACCCTAAGAAATGCAGGATTGCTGTATTGTGCTTGTCTTAGTATTTTTGTAGAACAGAAACAGTTAAAACAATGCTAAACAAATAATAGTTTTTTTTTCTATTATTTAATTTGATATTTATTAATTATATGTATTTGTTTGTTTATGTCACCACTGTTTCAGTGGTTTCTTTACCACAGAAATAAAGACAGGTACAATGCCGCTATTATGATTATTATTTTTTTTAAATTTATTACTTAAATCTAAGATAACTGCATTGTGCCAGTTAGTCTTAATAAAAAAGAAACAGTTAAAAAGAGTGCAAAATATAAATAAATGCATTTCTCTGTATATATTTTGTGTATATATTACAGTAATATCAAAATGATGGGTAACACTTTATTTTACACAGTAAACAGTAAATTATGCATAATTACATGCAACTAACCATCAACCAAATCCTAATCCTACCCTAACCCTATAGTAAGTATGCAGTTGGTAATGTCAGTCAGCACATAAATATATAATTACAATGCAAAAATGATACCTTAAAATAAAGTGTAACCAAATAATGATATATTATTTATTTATTTGTCTGTTTTATTTCTTCTTTTTTTACAGAAATATAAGACAGGCATAATGCAAAAAAAAATAGTAAATACTAGAATTAATTTCTGGAGGAAAAAAAATAATAATTCTAAGGTCAGAAAATGTATGAAATGCAACCTTTCTAATCACTTAATGGAATCTGGTTTGGGCAAGCTTTATTTCAAAATCAATGCATTTTTAAAATCGTACTTTATTGGCAAAGATGTGTCCAAGCAATGGGGGCACCACTGATTTTGAGCCCTTAAAATGTTTGACCCATCTGGTTTTGGGAGCAGCCCTCTCCATGAAAACTGCAGCATTCCAAATCAAGCTGATGGAGAGGTGGAGCACAGGACAGACATATTTGAGTGCCCCCATCAAAATGGACGCTCCAGACCACCCACACACCCTGCCATGGGACTGCATACATTAAGCCTTCACTCCGAGCCCAAAGCTCACCTCAGGATAGTGCAATACGGCAGAAAAATATGACCTCATCCAATAGATGATTGCAAACAGATGTTCTTATCAGGGCACCTCCACCCTGCTCTTTAGCAGTTGCCCACTCAGATTGAGAGAGAGAACGTGTACGTTCTTGTACAGATAGGGTGGGACGGACAGCTGTGAAGCAGGTGTCTATGAGAATGAAATAGGGGAACGGCAGGAGGACAGAGGGAAAGTTGAGGGAGGAGAGGAGAAGGACGATGTTAAAGGGTTAGTTCACCCAAAAATGAAAATTAAGTCATTAATTACTCACCCCCATGCTGTACCAACCCCGTAAGACCTTCGTTCGTCTTCGGAACACAAATGAAGATATTTTTGATTAAATTTGAGAGCTGTATAACTACCACATTGGCTCCTAAAGGACTGCCTCTTGACGGCCCAGAAAGTCAATGAAGAAAATGTTTAAATATCCCAAGTGACTACCGTGGCTCAACTATATGTTTATCAAGCGACGCGAATACTTTTTGTGCGAAAAAACAAACAAAAATAACGAGTTTATTCGACTATTTCTTTTCTTCCTTGTAGGCCAGAACGAGACTTCCTTAGATTTCCACGACGCATGCGCGAGATTTGCCATCTGCTTACGCCAGCTTACACCACTTCAGATCGCAATTCTCGCGCATGCGTCGTGGAAATCTAAGGAAGTCTCGTTCTGGCCTACAAGGAAGAAAAGAAATAGTCGAATAAACTCGTTATTTTTGTTTGTTTTTTCGCACAAAAAGTATTCGCGTCGCTTGATAAACATATAGTTGAGCCACGGTAGTCACTTGGGATATTTAAACATTTTCTTCATTGACTTTCTGGGCCGTCAAGAGGCAGTCCTTTAGGAGCCAATGTGGTAGTTATACAGCTCTCAAATTTAATCAAAAATATCTTTATTTGTGTTCCGAAGACGAACGAAGGTCTTACGGGGTTGGTACAGCATGGGGGTGAGTAATTAATGACTTAATTTTCATTTTTGGGTGAACTAACCCTTTAATATGTCTTCAGTAAGGAGTGCATCGCGAATACTTCCAATTGCTCGGCTCAGACAAAACACATATTGTGTGGCGAGGTCATCCATGGTGTGAGTCTCCACTCCCAAGACCCCTGTATAATCCCCCTCAGACACACACTCATCTATGACTGACAGAGATGTCTCTACAAACATTAGGAGATCAGCGCATGTTGTCTTTACAGTCATCAATTCTATAGCATTATTGGCATGGATTTCGTAGATGATGTATTGTTTTGCGCTGGCTGTACGTGTGGAGGGGACTGCTCAAATAATTTTCTTAAATAATAGGATTAATTTACAAGATCCAAAGGATGGGTCAGCATTTACTCACCCTATTTAAACCTGTATGATTATCAAACACAAAAGGTACATTTTTGAAGTGTATTGTGGTTGCTCTTTTACATACTATGAAAGTAATTTATGGAATGAAGCTATACGCCTCATTCACGGCAGCGCCATCTTTGATTTTTAATGAGAATGAAAGCGAGGCTGTGAGGGATAGACTTGCATCTCTTCAATGGGCTGTACTGTTATTTAATGTGTTTTCATTTTGTTCTGCTCATGAAACACTGGAAAAATATCTTTCCAAGAAATTTTAGTTGACAAAAAACTCCCGGCAATATAAGCTGTGGAAAATTGTAAGTAATCTAGGAGCTTTATTCGGCTTTTTACAGCGGATGCCATTGGAAACACGGTAAGTCTATCCCTCACAGCCTCGCTTTCATACCTGTCATGGAGCTGCTCTGAATAAGGTCTATTAAGTTTCAAAACAACAAAAAGCACTATAAACTACCATAAAGCTATCAAAAGTATTCCATATGTCTATGTGTGATATGTTTGTAATTAAATAGTTTAGCGTGAGACTGAAAATTAGTAAAGATTTTCAGTAAATTATTACTGGAATAAAGTGGGAAAGTACTATATTCTTCAAAAATGCACTTTTTGTACATAGAACATGGTCAGAAATAGTAAAATATATAAGAAAAAAAAAACAAAACAAAAAAAAAACATTTTTTTATTTTTTTTAGCATTACAGCTTGTCACTACGGCAGTCCTGTCGGTACCTTATAGCTTTTGTACCTTATATACCTCTAAATGGTATACCTAAAAGTGTAACTATGAGACTCGAAATTAAATCATACAGGTTTGTGACTACATGATGATGAGTAAATAATGACTGAATTTCCATTTTTGGTTGAACTATCCCTTTACCACATGTCACCGTTGTAAAACAAAATTGTCCCATAGAAATCTGCAAAGCTCCTAATGATTATAAAAGAAACAAATAAAAAAGGGGGGAGTGAGAGATTGAGGGAGGGAAAGTGAGAATTAGAGAGAGACAGAAAGAGAGTGAATGGTGTTGAATTAGTGTCTCATCATGAATGCAAAGCTCTCATCTAATTTTAAAGCTGGCTTCACCTCTCTCCCATTTCACATTGTCAGATTTCGAGGCTGGGCGATGTTCCCCTCAAATCTCTGGGCTTCATTTACAGTAATGAAGTTGATTTCTACCCATTCTTTAGAATCACCATTAGAATGATGCCCTCGTGATCAAAACATCACAACTGCACACGCTTTCTGGTGTGTTTCTTTAAAGCAATGTCCGAATTCAAGAGATAGCTACTTTTGTTCTGAAACTCTCGAATGTAATGAAAGCACAGCAGAAAACAAGAAGGGTGTTTTGAGAGGTTGAGAGGAGAAGGAGGGGGAAAAAAAAGCAGTTCCCTTTGGAACAGACCCAGCTTGCCCATTGAGTCCCTGCCCCAGTGGGAGCTTGGGGCTCTGGCTATAATCTAATTACATGCTTTATTTGCAGCAATTTGTTTCTCAATCAGTCTCATTCCGCACAGAGAAAGCCTTCCCCCTGTGCACTCATTCACACCTCATTGTTACAGCTCCCAGATCTGCGATGTGCGCATGAATAGCATTGTCCGTTCCATTAGAGGTCCAACTGGAAACAGACCTCAGGTCAGCTTTAGGCTCTTTTTTGCTAACAACAGAGTACAGTGTCTGCTGTCTTCAAGCTTTAAAAGACCCAGCAGGTTAGATTGTCAGTGTTAGATGTCAAGGCTTTTCAAAAAGTGCTGAGTGAGGCTGAATAGCGCAGACTCATTAGCTGTTTTCCGCCGAATCTCCACACCAACAACTGCCCTCAATGTCTAGCGACGGAGAGAATTCGTCCACAAATGTTTCCCCACAGGGGTCCCCCACAGTCAGCGTGTAACCGGTGCCCTCCACTCATTCTTCAGTGTCAAACAAGCCTCACATTCAAACTTACACGCAGCTTTCCTTTTACTCGCTGGCACCGCTAGCAGCGCCACCGGACTTGGTGCCAAAACCTCTTTCGCTTGAAAAGACGGCAGGAAAAACATCCATTAAGGTGACACCGGCCTCTGTGGGAGCATCATGACAGGACGGCAAGCTAACCCTACTTCCCCTAACTCAAGAGGGGGCACAATGAGTACATTTGTCTTTGCTGCGGGGGACTGGATGTTCGAATAGGAATCTCAGGGTGCCCATCACCTCTTTAAAGGAGAGCTAATGAGAAATGATGGCTATCAAAGGGAAGTATCGTGATGGCATTAAATAGGGTTATAGGAAAACAAAGCAGTTGCTCTACAGTCTTCATTTAAATGGAAATGAAGCTGCCACAGTATGGACTCTCAATTTCATTTCGGTTACAGTTTCTCTGCCATTTCCAATCTACAGTGTGCACGGTTTGACTCGCCCCAACCCCGCCTTGGACTCCCTCGCGCAACCACTTCGGCGCGACTACTTTCACGGGCATTTTTTTCTGTTTCCTGGGTTGCCCAGGGCAACCTCATTCACACAGAGAGAATGGAGAGTCCAAAAGAAAGTAAAAGGCAGGCACGGAGCGAGGGTCGGCCGAAACAATGAAGTTTCTTAATATGCAGGCGAGCTGAAAGGTTTTTCTCTGCCCCCCGTCCCTCCGTCTCCCATTCCATCCATCCACTAAAAGAAGGCCATGCCAATTGTAAGGGGAATGGCGAAAGCAAACTTCTCCATTTAAACATCTGCATGCTCGAAAGAGGTGTTTTTAATGAATTAATCGTGTCTGTGTCCTCAGAGTTGAAGGCACAGCTTATTTTATCTGGGAAGAAGAGGCCCAATCAGATACGAATCCCTTGGGTTTTTCCCCTCAAAACACCATGCTTATTCTTTATTTTTACTTACAACAAGCTTTTTTAAACACTTTATGTGCTGCTAATTTTCCCTCTGACCTCCCTTTGTGCTTGCTCAACCCTCGCTCCCCCCTTCACCGCAACCTCCCTGAGTGCCGAACCAATAAATGCCAAAGGTTGAAATGGTCTTTAGGGGTTGCGGTGGGGGAGGAGGCATTCGGATAGATGTACAGGGTACGGAGTTGACAGCACCGGGAGGGAGGTGTCGTGATTCAAAAAGCCCTAATCAGGCCCATCATGGCACTGACAGTGGAGACAAGGGTGAGAAATTAGCATGGAACTGAAGAAAAAAAAAAATCACTGGGTGGCACAATACGCTTGGCCTCAGAGGGCTCCCATCAGAGCAGGGGAGGGTCCAGACATCCAGAGAGCAGAACGAGAGGGACCTTTTGTCTCCTTCCTTTTCTAAGGAGCAAAGGACACTTTGCTGAATGCCTCACAAGCCCTATTACAGCCTCACAATTAAACTGGGCAGATGGGTGTCACAACAGGCCAAGGCTTTAAGGATAGATGTGTCGTTTGCAGAAGTGTCTCTCTTTTTGACAATGACTCTTTTACATTCTTTAATCATGTGTTGTTGTTGTTGTTGTTTTTTCCCCCGTCTCAACCCTTCCTTTCTTATTTTTACCTCCAAAACTTAGACTGCGAGTCTTACTGCAAGGCATCCAAAGGCAAGCTGAAGATCAATATGAAGAAGTACTGCAAGAAAGATTACGGTGAGTGAGAAAAAGTGCACACAACACCATGCCGAAAGCAGCACACTCCCCACATTTATGCAGGTGGCTCAAATCCTTGCCCTCTGCAACATCTTTATGCTTTATCCAAAGCCGAATTCCCTCGAGCCCCCTCAGTGTTGGTATATTGTAGTGATGGCTTACTTGGGGCTTTCAAGAAGAAAGTCAAAGGATCAAACAGGAGGAAAGGCCATCAGTGAGGGGTTTAGGGGAGGCTGCGTTGACGGACAGCCCAGCAGGTATTTCAAGCCCAAAGCGGATCAAACCATGGCAGTGTGACGGGCAGAAGGGACCGGAGTGCTCACAGATATCCTCATTAAGGGAAGCGCATGTCCCTGTCCTGCATTCCTGGGGGCAGCAGGCCCTCTCTTGTCCATGAAAAGGAGCAGATGTGCAGCCCTACAGAGGTGGGGTTGTTTCGTCAGTCAAGCGAGACCCCATGGAACTTAAAGAGCTTAGCAGGTTTAATAACAGACAGAGCATTTTAACAGCTCTTTTGATTCATTTCAGTCATCATACGCTGAAAATAAATTAGGGTAGGATTTCATTTGAAACGATTTTTGGTAACAATTTATTTTAGTGTCCTTGTTACATACATGTACTTACCCTAGTAATTACAGTAAATTATCCATAATTACAAGCGACTAACCCTCAACCAAATCCTACCCTAACCCTATAGGTAGTAGTTGCTTAATATTACTCAGAACTTAAGTATAAAATCACACTGCAACAATGACGCATTAAAATAAAGTGTAACCAACTTTCACATTTTATTTACAACAGTGAGTGTTGAAGAGTTTAGGTAATTTATTAATGTAGAATAAAACACAACAAATTATTATTTGAGTATAATTATAGGTATAATTGTAATATTTTAGAAAAGTGCTATGTGGAAATATTACCATATTATTATATGGGTTGATGACAAATTAGAGTGTCCACAATACAAAAAGGAAACTATTTATATTTATTGATTTGTAACAAGAAATGTTGGTTTTATATGGCTTTGGAAAAAATAAAACAAAAAAAAATATATATTATTTGAGTATAAGTATAGGTATAATTGTAATATTTTAGAAAATTGCTATGTGGAAATATTACCATATTATTATATGGGTTGAAAACAAATTAGAGTGTCCACAATAAAAAAAGGAATATATATATATATATATATATATATATTGATTTATAACAAGAAATGTTGGTTTCATATGGCTTTGGAAAAAATAAAGGTATAGGTATAATTGTAATATTTTAGGAAATTGCTATGTGGAAATATTACCATATTATTATATGATAATAAATTAGAGTGTCCACAAATAAAAAAGGAATATATATATATATATATATATATATATATATATATATATATATATATATATATATATATATATATATATGAAGAGTTCAGATGCAAAAGCCTCTAAGTGCCATTTGAAATTTTGTTCTAGAATGACCATTTTCATCAAGCTTGTATATTTAAGTTCAGTAATTTCACTTAAATGACAATTAATAGGTAATCTTCATTGCCATTTAAGTGAAATTACTGAACTTAAATATACAAGCTTGATAAAAATGATCATTTTAGAAGAAAATTTCAAATGGCACTTAGAGGCTTTTGCATCTGAACTCTTCATATATTGATTTATAACAAGGAATGTTGGTTTCATATGGCTTTGGAAAAAATAAAACAAAAAAAAATATTATTTGAGTATAAGTATAGGTATAATTGTAATATTTTAGAAAATTGCTATGTGGAAATATTACCATATTATTATATGGGTTGATGACAAATTAGAGTGTCCACAATAAAAAAAAGGAAACCATTTTTATATACTGAATTGTAACAAGAAATATTGGTTTCATGTGGCTTTGGAAAAAAAAAAAATCAATAATTTTCAAGAAAAGTTCTAATTAAATGAGTTGACTAACCATTAAGAAAAAGTATTTACATATTTTCCTCACGCACTGTGAAAATATATTAATCATTAAACATTTTTATATATCTTTTTCAAAGTAAGAAGTGTGTTATTTTTTGTGAATTATTCATTTATAAATACTATTATGTTTTGAGGAAATCACACCACGGCACTTTACAAACTAAACTAACCTTGCTTTACTATTGTAAAATCAGATATTTTAAGAGACTTAATTTACCTTGACAAAATGGTATGCAGGGGTTCTTTCTATTTTTTTTTAAACATCAAAATACACCACTAATCACTGTAGTAGATTTATTTTATTTTTTCAAATAATAATAAAAATGTATGTCAGTATACTTAAGGTTTTATTTTTTTTAAATCCATTCTATTAATAAATGAATTAGGATATCAGGAAAGTTGCATCATTTTACTTTATGCCCACCAAAATATCAAAATGAATTTTAATTAATTTAAATGTTTATCATTTATTCTATTCGCTGTATGTGTGAATTTAATTTCTAATATTTTTTTGTACGCACAAAAAAAAAAAAAAAGTGTTTTCATTGACCCATAATGAAATGTATACTTTAATTGAGCTGGATACCATTACAATTAAGCTACACAAAGTATATAATGGCCATGCTGTGTGCTTGTAAAGATGGATTGTGATAAATGTAATAATGATTGAAAAAGCTTATGCGTTCCAGCCAAAGACATGATTTGATGGATACGAAAGTGTTTATGCCCAACAGACCCATGTTTGATTCAGGGTCTATTCAGGGTGTGAAAAAAGCACAGACACACACACAAAAAAAATAGGGAATCCCTGCAGCGTACAGTGGAGGTCTGGCACACAATGGTCGTAGCATCTTACATGATGAATCCTCAATGCAATCACCTCCTGCAGACCGGCTTTGCATGTTCTCCTTTCTACACTGCCATTACTCATTTAAGACTCGTTTAAGAATTTATCCAGATAATATGGTCCCCCGCTGACTTCAATTTACAGTTGTCCTCAGTTATGGAGAGTTCGCTAGCTCCCCCTTTACTCAAAAGTGAACAGTCTAGGATAAACTCCCACATTCTGAGCATTAAACCTAATCCACTTTCCTTCTGCCTTCTTGAGCATCAGGGGGGCTTTATACAGCAGCACGGGGAGAAATGGCTATAAAATTGGAATTGAACTTGAAGATGGAGTCATCTAAAGACTTATGAGGGGAATCAGGCATTTTGTGGCATGATATTTACAGCCTCATGCCTCAGTGGCATATTACCCATAAAACACCACTCCTGACCACAGCTGGGCCACAGACATGTGGTTATCATTGGATACATGACTTCCACCTCTCCAAATGGTGACAGTGACAGTTTGTTTCATAAAGTTAAAAGTTTTGGGATTTCATCGTTGATAATATTCTCACTTTCTAGTGTCCTTAAAGTGTAATACAAAAATGTTCACTATTATGTGGTTCCAAAACCGTATGATTTTTTTTCGAACGATGGCAGTTAAACTCAAAAATTACAAAAATAGTTTTTGTATATAGGAAACAGACCAAAATTAGTCATTATTCCCAGGAACAAAACATTCAGACCGTTATGTGAACTGCATCAAGAATTTCACTGAAAAGGTCACACAAAAGAATGAATCGTTTATGAATAGTGAATAGTCATGAAAAAGCTAAGGGGAACTGGTCTTTCAAGATTTTTAGTGAATAACTGATTCATTGATATTATCATATTCTTAAGAGTTTTTGTGCAACTCTCACAAAGCTATCAAATGGCATCAGAAGATTTGGAATATTGTTAACATAATAATTGTTCATTTGTGTCATACGAACCGCTTTAATACACTCAATTCACTTTGATTATAAGCAAAACCACAGGTGGTTTTGCTTATAATCAAAGTGAATTGAGTGTATTAAACAATATTATGTTAACAATATTCCAAATCTTCTGATGCCATTTGATATATATTCTGATGCCTTCTGATATATATCCTGGATAGTCTTTAAAAAATCATTTTATTTGTTCCACGAAAGAAAAGTCATACAGGTTTGGAACAACATGAAAATGAGTAAATAATATTTTTGTGCAAAATATTAGAATAATTGATTTCAATTCATAATTTAAACCGAATGTCATTTAACGAGCAATATGTTGCGATTTAAACTTGTCAAAAACTGGCAAAAACACTATTTCTCAGCTTTTTGTTTAAAATGTTGCTTTTTTAATGAAACCTACCCACAATTAAGTGTTGATAAAAAAAAGAATGCATGAAGCTAAAATTGTATTTATTTATGTTTAAAGCAGAGGCTCTGTTCTTTCGTTCACTCTTTCTTTATTTGATATAAGGCATGTTCAGATAAAGGCTATTCATAAAACTAAATAATCTTGGGGTTCATGAAAAGTTTGTGAAAAACTGACTGACTGGCGACGGGTGAGAAAAGAGTTAAGAGTTAAAGACCTCTGTGCATCCCGATACAACAGAGAACTCGAGAATGAAAATGAGGCGCAAGATATTGATTTCTGTAAATGTGAAAATGGATCCTTGTACTGGCATTAAATGAAACTCATGAAAAATGTGAATTCTTATAAGAGGAATGTTTGTAATGGGGTTGAACTTTCTATATCAGAGGAGGAAAACATGCATGGTCTGCATGGCTCTAGCTTTAAAAACCTGTAACTAGACAGACAAGTAGATCACCAAGCATAAGCCTGTGTGAATCAGATACTGCCTCAAACTGCAAAGCATTGCGCAGACGAAATTAAACCTGCTCCTTTTTGTCGAAGTCACCTTACAAAGCACATTGAAGGCTGAAAAGGGGGATTCACACTTTTTTTACGCAGATTTGGGGGATTCACACTTGATTGTCAAACTGCGGCAGGATTTGAGTTCCATGCTTTATTTGAAAGCACTTTAAAGTGAAGGTTGACCTGCATTGCTTCAGCAACTGAGACGATACAAACGACTTTATCGGAATCAGAGCCAGACTGAATCTGTGGCTCACTCGTGGCTGTAAATTTAGATATTTTGGTAACACTTTACAGTAAGTTTCATTAGTTAGTTAACTAACTTAGTTAACATGAACTAAGAATGAACAATACTTCTACAACATGTTAGTTTGAACATAACCAATTTATAGATTTCACACTATTTCTTGGCCACTAATCAAGACATACAAAGTACTAAGTAATTCATGTATTTATTTATTTATTAGGATTGGGTATCGGTTGGGTTTTATCCGATACCAGTACCTACTCTGTATTTTTTAAGCGGTTCCGGTGCCTAAACGGTTCTTGAAACGGTACTTAAGAAAACGAAACACTTTGTCAAAAAAATAATAACACCCCTTTATTTACAGGGCCAAACTGGACACATTATTAACTTACAATATAAATACAAGTAACATATGGTAATAATAAATAAACCAATATAAAATAAAAGTTCATATTTACATAATATCAAATAAAACAATATTATATTAAACAATGTAATTATCCTGCATGGAGATGAGATTACTACCAGGGTGATATAATATCGACACGGCTACTGGTTTCCATGTTTTGTCTGCTTTAACTAGTCATGTAGGCCAAGTTATCTTGTCATTTACTAGTTAAACTCTTAGCCAGTTTGATATTTCGTTCCCACTGCGTCTTATACGCAGCTTTGAGTTGCCTATATGAAAGAGAACGTCTCTGTATTTATGCAATACAATATTTGTATTAAATTAGAAAAACTTTTTCACTAAGGTTAGTGGTCTCAGCCTTTCAGACGTCGTTTTGTGTACGGTAACATTGTTATTTAAATGGGCAAACTTCAACTTTAACATTCAAGTTATCATTCAGAGATTCATTTAGTTAATCACACATGCATTTAAAAAGTACAAAATATTCCATGTACTGTTTGAAATGATTTTAAATGACAGAAAGTGTGTACAAAATAATAATCTCGCCCTAAATTTGCATGTTTTTGCCATGCAAAAACATGACTGATCTTTAGCACATGTGCATCCCTACCAGCAGCACCGCAAAGAAATTTCAGAGATCTGTTGTTTATCCTTACATATTTTGGACTTGAAACACTTCCTAACTGTAATTTTAACAGTCGATTCTTTTTAATTCATTCATTATTTGCATTTTTCATGCATTACTCATTAAAATAAACAGGGTTCGTAGACCTGTGTATAATTCAAGATCAGCACTAACGGAGGGTGAGAATGACAAACCAAATGTGGTGAACTTTCAGTGTGTCACTCATCTTTGTTAATAGTGAGAAAAATTATTCTGTTTTTTTTTTCTCCCTGTTATTCTACAGCTGTTCAGGTCCACATCTTAAAAGCAGAAAAAGCCGGTGAGTGGTGGAAGTTCACCGTCAACATCATCTCTGTCTACAAACAGGGTGAAAGCCGAATCCGCAGGGGAGACCAGTTTTTGTGGGTCAGAGCAAAGGACGTGGCCTGCAAGTGCCCAAAGATAAAGCCCGGCAAGAAGTACCTACTTCTGGGCAATGACGAGGATTCCCCTGGACAAAGCGGAGTGGTGGCAGACAAGGGCAGTCTGGTCATTCAATGGAGGGACACTTGGGCTCGAAGACTCCGGAAGTTTCAGCAGCGCGAGAAGAAAGGAAAATGCAAGAAAGCGTAGTGAGGCGAAAAGGAAAGAGGTGGCCATCCAGAGCTGGACAGAGAAACAACAGACGAGTGGTGGATGAAAAGATAATAAGGGAAAGGAAGAGAGGAAGAGAGAGAGAGAGAGAGAGAGAAAGGAACTGAACATCGCTGCTTTGAATAAAGGCATGAAGACAATATTAACATTTTGTTTTTAAAATAGGAACATGTGTGAAGGAGTTCACGATGCAGTTTTCATTTCTTATTTGTTTCCTTCGAGATTTGTTTGCTGTTTGCCAATTTTGCACCTGTGTCCATTATAAAGAAAGCTATTGGATTATTTTTTAAATGGCTTCATATTTCAGATCCATCAGATCAAGCTGTATTTCATATTCTAAAACAGAATTTTCAAAGTAAAAAGAAAAAAATATATATTTAAATGAATAGTTCTTAAGTAAGCCTCTTCAATACAAAAATAAACAAGTAAATAAAACATTTTCACGAGTGAGCTTTAGCATTTAAAAATTCATATGCTCTAACTTATGCATAATGCATAATGGCGGAGGTGCCAACATTTCAGAAATGTCAAAATTCTGTTTTCGATGGGAATTTTTAATATGACAGACGCCAAAACAACTTTTGCTCTTCTTTGCCAATTTAAAGGGATGCTCCACTTTTTTTGGGGGGAAATAGGCTCATTTTACCACTCCCCCAGAGGTAAACAGTTGGGTTTTACCGTTTTCAAATCCATTCAGTTGATTTTCTGATAATTAGAAGAATATCAGTTACCAGACAGTTTCTGGTCTCATTGACTTCCATAAAAAAATCCAGAGACCGGAAACTGTCTGGTTACTGATATTCTTCTAAATATATATTTAAAAAAAAAAAAAAATGGCTGAATACATTCGAAAACGGTAAAACCCAACTGTTTAACTCCGGGGGAGTGGTAAAATGAGCCTATTTCCAAAAAAAAAAAGTGGAGTATCCCTTTAAAAAGTTATTTTTTCAAAGTCTGAAAAGTATTGTAGTTTCACCTTGTAACGACTGCATGAAAAACATGCATTATGCATATACCGGTGCATATTATTTTTTATAATTAGTTCATTCAGCATTATTAGTTAATGCAATTTTCATGAAGTTGCATGGTTTAACATTATCATTGAATTCAGATCAAAAAAAAGAAAAAAAAGAAAAAGACCATATGACAGCACTTGTACAGTATAACATGTATATTTCATATAACACAACTCATTTTTTTTAAGACTGGTTTGGTTTTCCCAAACACTATACAAAAGCACGTCAAGCGCAAATCGACGGTTTCTGTTCAAAGTATGTTTCTGATTGCCTTTTCATCATAGGTGGCCCGTAGTTCACTACTTTCAGTTAAAGAATCATCTAACAATTGCTGAAAAGTAGTAGCGCCTATTTCCTTCAACAGTCCCCACTAATATAGACTACATTTGGTCGAATTATCTGCAAAAAATTAAAAAAAAAAAACAATGCCTGTTTAAGCCATGTGTAAATCCAACACTATCTCACGACCAATTCGTACGAATTTGACGCATGATTAAAAAGTGTCTAATTCGTACGACCTCACTCGTACTAATTTGTACGATTTGTCTATACCCACGTGATGGTTAGGTTTAGGGGCGGGGTCAGGGGTAGGTCATTCGTACGAATTCATACGAATTGGCCAATTCGTAAAATATGTACGATTTAGCAAAATCGTATTAATTCGTACGAGTGAGGTCGTATGAATTGTTACGAATTAGCCACTTTTTAATCATTCGTCGAATTTGTACGACTTGGTCGTGAGATCGGGTTGGTAAATCTAGAACTTGCCTCACTTATTTACAAGAACAAAAATCTGTATTCATAATTGTTGAAAACTGATTTATGATCTATAAAAATGTAATGGCATGCTTGTACAAACCCTTCACTAATTAGCATGCATTTACAATTATTTTTGAACTTGGAATAAAATCACCATGTATATTTTTGTATAAGACATGATTAATTGAGGTACATGACATCATTTTTTTTTTGCTCCATTTGAATTGTTTATAGTCCAGACATGGACGATGACGATTTTTTGTTGTTGTTGTTGTTAAAACCGAACTTCAGCGCGACGAGTCCACTGTATAAACAGGCCTTTTCGTAGACAAGTGTTGGTAGAATGGTGTGTATAGTTAGTATTTTTCATTGTGTGTAAAACAGTATTTAGAAGTGTACGAACTACCTTTAACTAGTATTCATGAACTAGTATTTACTATTAAGTTTTGTAAAGCGACAGCATCTCTCCTTATTTCCACGTCCATTTAGGGTCTGTGAATGTAGGAATGCATGTATAGTAATGTTTCACTACAACAGAGAATTCTCTTCACTGTGAGAAACGCTGCTCTCACACACACTTGTTTTGTTACTGACAAAAGTACAGCTTTTTCACTGATCTTTGAGGGGTCACTTAACATTTGATGGTGTGGTCTGTCTAAATTAAACTGCAGGAACTGATCATTTCAGTATCAAATACCAAAACAAGAAAAGAAGAAAAGAAAAAAAGACGGATTCGATGAACGGTTTACGTGTGGAGGAATTATCATCTTAACACAATGATTACTTGTAAATGGACACAATGTATAACATACAGATATTTATACATATGACGTATTAACCGGTTACAAACAATATTCGTAATACCACATGTACATGTATTTTGTTTGGCACTCAGTATCTTAGTGCACACACCTTTTTTTTCTTTTTTTTATTTCAAGTATTACAACGATGTAAATTTGTGTTCCCTTTTTATTTTTCGCAGCAGTGGAAAGATGCCTCATGTATTTGACATTACCAGCAGAGCTTACATACATTGCTTCTTGTTCATATTATGAATTGTAAATTTAGCTGTGGCAAATACAAGACGTCTGCAATATTGTTTTACAATGCATACTAATATATTATGGTTATTATAAGAAAATATTTAATGACACAAGACATTGTGGATTTTTTACATCCTTTTGCCTTTTTTGTTGTTTGTTTTGTTTCGTTTGTTTTTTATTGCTTTTTTTTTTCTTTTTTACAGTTTGTGGTTGTTTAGATGGTTGTGATTAAAATCCAGAGGGGAAAATAACTACTGAACACCAACCTGGTAGAACTACAATTCAGCATTCATTTGGAATAAAATCTCAAAACGTCACTAGTGTGCTTTCTCATTCCCCTGCTTATAAATTTGCCTTAAAAAATAATACATTAGTATTTATTTAATCGTTAATCGATAAGTAATCAATTTGGATGTTTTAGTCATTTTAACTTAAATTACATTAAACTGACTTAAAACGAATTGTTGAATCTTAAATTGCTTAACTTTTTTTGATGAGTTAAAGCAATGTAATAATATGTTGTCAGAACTTATTGATACATTTTTTAATATTAAATAACACTAATAAATACATACATTTGCGACAATAAAGATTTAACCAATGAAACAGTTGAGGCCAGGTTGTGTTAACTATATTTATTAAGTCACATTTTCAGGAAAAAAAATAAAATAAAATACAGAAAAGTATTGAGAAAAATGACATATTTATTAGAATTAGTTCTACTTAAAAAATAGAATCCGAACTGTAATGCATTTTAATAGACAATGAGAAAGAAGTTCAGAGCTTGTATATTTTAACCCAACAGCGGAGCTCAAGATTCTGTATTGCATTGTGACGCACAGACCTTGTTTACATGAAGGATACGGATCATTTTCTTCACTGCCAAACAAAGAATTTAAATAGGTTTTCCCCCCTCGGAGCATCTCATGGTTATATTCATAATAGTATTCAAAACCTTTCAAAGCGATTTTCTATTTTTCTTTCCATTCCGAATCCTACTTTGATCATTATCTGAGGAGCAAAGAATTTCAGTTCTTCATAGTGGTCCATTCCCTGGCTTTTACCCAGTCACGGGTTCCATTACTTTCATAAATGGAGAAGGGGATAAGAGAAGGGGTTTGGAGGGACGCGTTTATGTGGAAGCTACGCGTATCCCCCGTTTCCCCCCAGAAAACACTCCGTATCTGTGCCGTCTTCTCTTCAGAAACATCCTCTTCATTACTATTGCCAAGCGGCCACGACAATGATGGCGATGAGGAGAAGAACAATCACCACCCACATCCCTGATTTAAAAACACACAACAAAATATCTTAATGAAACAACAATCTTTGAGCAGAAGTTTTTGCCATGCAAAAAACATGACTGATCTTTAGCACATGTGCATCCCTACCAGCAGCACCGCAAAGAAACTTCAGAGATCTGTTGTTTATCCTTACATTTTTTGGACTTGAAACACTTCCTAACTGTAATTTTAACAGTCGATTCTTTTTAATTCATTCATTATTTGCATTTTTCATGCATTACTCATTAAAATAAACAGGGTTCGTAGACCTGTGTATAATTCAAGATCAGCACTAACTGAGGGTGAGAATGACAAACCAAATGTGGTGAACTTTCAGCGATGCGTCTGCCTTTCATTAATCCTTCTGATAGACAAATTTCTCATTTACTCTGTGTCACTATGGGAATTCCAGGAAGGTGTTGGAGAGGATGTCTCATCTCCTGTTAGTCACTTACATCAACCAGAACATGTGTTGTAGATCAGCTATTACAAAACTGATAGTTCTGACTCGGATTAAATGAACCGATCAGTCCTCAACTGTGACTGAGCATCCTAGTTAGGCTTGAACTATTTACTGGAATAATCAAAATTGAAGTTTTACAATTATTAATATTAGTACAATTATACTTTAGTGATTTTCATTACCTGGCCTTTCCATACACAGGCTGAATATATTTAAATTAATATATTTAACCCTAAAATCGTATTCTGGACAAATGTGGGCAAAATAGTTTTAAAAAATACTTCCCTTGATATGAGCAGTACAAGACTTGGCTACTTTTCCTAAGTTTGCCTCCAGAACACACAATTGTTTTTGACTCAATTCTACAATGTTAAGAGGGTGAAAAAAAATCTCCTTAATCTTGTATTTGGGTCAAAAATGGACACCCATAGAAATGAATGGGAAAAACTGTAATTTAGAGCATTCTAAAATAAGCCAAAATAAGACACCAGATGACAGCAAAGTCACTTCATCTTTAGGTTTTAGCTCTAAGAACTTATTGGAATGATATTGGAATGTAGTTAAAAAATTGTAAAAAAAAAAAAAAATAAAACATAAAAATAATCATAATTTACATAAATAAATAAGTAAATAAATTCAAAAATACCCCCAAAATAAAAAAAAAAACACCATAAATGGATAGACAAAACTTTATCGAAGACAGTGATATAACATTTATAATAAATAAAAATTAGAATCACACCTGAGTCCTCTGTGCCCACATTTGTCCACAATTACAGTATTAAGGGCTATAAAG